CTTCCTTCCTTTCTTTCTTGCATTTTGTGCTCTGCACCGAAACAGCAGAAGGATCTGATGGTTTTTCTCATCATGTCACAGATTTATGATTATAACTCTATTTGCCTTTCTCTTTTTCTCGTCTCATAAATAAGTTCTGGATGTTTTCTGAGATGAAAATGACAGCGCATATTAAACTTCATGTAGCGTTGCTACACTTATCGAGTTTTTATGAGCTATGAGCAAAGGGAATGCACACATCTACAAACACGGGTTATAAGTTTGTAGATGTTTGCAATTTCCTCAAACTGAAACCACCAGGACGTTTTTATTTTTACCTCAAATAAATCTTATCATCAGAAGGCACACAGTTCAAGGAGGACAATAATACAAGAGCACCGCACGAGTTGACATTTTCATTAACAGACATGACATTTATTGTCTTTCCATTTGCGCTTGCTCTTATTCACACCCTCACTTTGATTTGCACCATTTAAAATGCGATGAACCCACAGAGGCTCCATATTCCCAGTGATCAGTTTAGAAACATGAATGCAAACATATGCTTTTGTTTTTGAGTCTGACTGTAATACGCTTCTGTGTGGTCATGTGTGTGCGTTCATGGTTTTACAGCTGTTTTTATATCGTTGTCTGCTAATCTGAGTTAGAATAGGGAAACGATTCAGTTTTATTTATGTAGCACCAAATCACAACAACAGTCACCTCGAGATGCTCTATGTTGTAATGTAAAGATCCTACAGTAATACAGAGAGTCACCAACAATCAGACAGCCCCCCCCCCTCCCCCCCTCGTGGGGAGGAAATACAGCCCTGTGTTTTAAATCTACAGCCCTCCCTGTTCATCCCTCATACCAACTATAAATACACAATTTCATCGACTGTATTTTTCGGGCCATAAGGCGCATTAGGTGAAACAAAACAGTCAGATAAATCAAACTTTACTCTCCTCATTCTTCTGTGCGTATGCTATGCTAACATAGCTGTGTCGCTAGCGATCACGTAGCACATCATTATATACCAGCTAGCCCAACTTCAGTAATCCTACAAACGTCACTGCTGTTTAGTATTCTGTCTTCATTTATGTTGGAAGTGATAGCAGAGCTGTACGTTTGAATTTTTCAGAAATCTCTCAGTCAGAACATGCTATATCATGTTTAGCAGGAAGCTAGCGAGCTAACTTCCTGCTAACTTCTAACTGTAAATGTAATAAATTCTGTTTTCATGGATGTTAAACTTAATTGTTACACCTGGTAAAGCAGCAACACTGATCATTTTATTAAAGATGAAAGAATTTAGACAGTTTTTAACTCTCAGTGATGCTGCAGTGTTCGTTTGACTTTGGGACCTGAAAATGACGAAGTTTAGGACCCAGATTACTCTGTGAGGCTCCTGACTACAGCAGCCGTAATGCTCCAACAATCCATCACGCGGTGAGGCTTCGTAGCTTACCAAAGTCGCACTAAAACATTTTTGACAGATTTTTGAGTGCCGTGTAGCACATAAAATCAGTTCGAGGTCAGTAAGCACAACCAGAATTTATAGGGCACAATGTCGATTTTTGAGAAAATTAAAGGATTTTAAGTGCGCCTTATAGTGCGGAAAATTCCGCATTAGCTCTAGATAATACAGGAGAATGATGATGGCAAGCTAAAGTGCCTTAAATGTACATTCACCCTAATGGCCACCAGGGGGCGATACTTCCTATGCCATTTATGCGCTCAGTCGCTCATTTGGAGACATCCAAGCGAGTCCACTTTGGAATTTTGGACTGAGTCAGGGATATAATCCAGGGCATGCTCATTGGCTGATGAACAACGAGCTTAGTCCCCCTCCCTCATTAAATCTGATTCCAAAACACCAGGAATGATAAAATGCTCATCTCGATGCCTCGTAATGGGACCCTACAAACCGCTGGATGGCATCACAGCTGAGATGCTAATTTTAGTAGAGAAGTGCAGAGCCAGTCTTTGTGTTTCTTTTAGTCCATCTTCACTCTGAGACAGATTCTTTTTAGGTGGCCAAAATATTACAGAAATTGAAACAGAATGTGAGATAACTGGGAAGATGTTTGTGGTGATGGATAGATGCAGACAGAGAGGTCGCCCCCTGCTGGCTTTGGTGTTACATTTCACTTTCCTCTCAGAACATTTGAACTACGATTGGCTGAACAAGAACTGCTGCTTTAAGACAAACATAAAAGCCTTGATAATTCATTTTTCCTTATCTCCCCAAGACAGCATTACTATCTTAAAGACAAAATGAGAATGAATTTTTGACCTTTGTTGGATAAAGTTTTCCTTTCTTCTTTTACACATCGAGTGACAAACAAGACGAAGACAAAGGGAGAAAAACACATAAACAAACGTCTTGTCAAGTAAAGACTTAAACTGCGATCCCAGCAGTATAATTTCGAGTTGCTGACCTCAGAAGTGACAGAGAAATGGCCTCATCCAGGGTTAGCAACAACGTAATTACAGATTTTGTGTGAATTGTAGCACTTAGTCTGTCACAGCCTGACAGACAACACTAATGCAGGGCGTCCTCTTACTTTGAATAAACATAAAAAGTAGATGCAGATCGTTCGTTCTAACAGGACTCTGACTCTGTCCTGTCATATTAAAAGCTTTATGATCTTGCTTCAGTTGGAGAAGAGCAGCAGAAGTATCAGTGGGAGTGTCTGCGAGCTTCTTTGTCTCTGTGGTGATTCACAGGGTCGGGTTATATTCAGAAGGTGTTAAAAATAAACAACAGCAGCCTAAGAGCAGGTTCAGACCGGATGGCCGTCGGCCCCGAGGGTGGAGGAGTCGTCTAATGATGCAGGGTCTGATTTAAAGTGTGGAGCAGATTGCAGCAGCCTGTCACACAGCCCGTGTACATCAGTCACAGTGGGCCCAATCATCGTGTACACCTGATGAATCACTGGCTTTCTAAGCGCTGATGCACCACATAAACTCGTCCCTTGCAGAAAGTACACTCCTGCAAAGCTCCAGCTCACTCGTGGTCCACGGGTGGGTTGTGTTTGCTTAGACGCGGGCGCCGCCAGATTTACAGTCTCAGTCAGGTCACGACAAACTAATCTCTCCATAGGAGGCTCAACATTGTGACAGTTTCCCAAATGTCACAGTTATTGTAGCCAAACTGCACGAAACATTAGCACACCACAGTTTGGCAGATGATCAGCACACCGGGCTCTGCACGTCCAAAGGCTTCTACGCTGGAATCATCAACAGGCACTCTTAAAAACACGTGTCCGTTACTCCGGAGTACAGCTGACCCTTTTACAGCAATTCTGCAATTAAATTCATGGCGCCATCTTCACCGACCTCATTATACAACAGTGACCTGGAACCGAGAGGGAAGCAGTTTTTCATTAGCATAAGCTGAATGTTTTATTAAAGCCACGGTCGGGGCTCCAGCTGCATCACCAACCACACCGATGCAGATGATTCAAAGCTGCTGTGAAAATATGCATAAGAAACTGTTCAACAGACTTGTTGCGTAATTTTCCATGAAACTGTATACTAGCGTGGGCCCGTGGTGATTAGCATAGCCATGCTGGTTGCCTAGCTGCACCTGACTCGAGCGCAGCCCGATGCATTGAAACATTTTGCCCGGACCTTCTGTTTGCGTCAGGCTTTACTTCAAAATAAAGGCAGAAGCAAAGAAGCCATTCCAAGAAATTTAACACCAAATGGAAAGAAAATGTTGTTATTTTAGCTTTTTAAGTGTGTTCGAACGCTGCCTGAGAATCCACTAAAACACCGAGTGTCCTTCTGCCTTTAATGATTTTGAACACGAGGGTAGTTTTCCTGCAGGCCTGTGCACACGCAGGCTGTTGGAGGCGCAGAGCTTTGGGTTTCTCATTGCACTTTGTCATGTTTGTCTTAATGCATCTTATTTTATTTGACCTGGAATAACACAGCCTTCATGTGCTCTAAAGCACATGCTGTTTTTTACAGTGTGGAGATGGCTCCAGCTTTGCTTCTTGTGCTGCCCACTTAGAAAGTCCACTCAGTACACAGAATATTACATAACCTAATATTTGAGTTGCTGGGAAGTTGTTTTGATTGCACTCATGTTTCAGGGACCGTGATTCTGTGAAGTCTTTTAAATATTGTCCCTTCATTTATCCCAGGTTTTTAGAACAAAATAGGATATATGATAAATATGGATTTAAACAGAGCTGCAGACTGAAGGAGGACACCACAGTTAGCTTGGATGAGCCATATTCTCTAATTGTTTACACTGACTAACAGGACGCTGCAAGAAGGAGAAGAAGATAATAAAATGGGAAAAGAAGGTCTATACTGGCCTTAATGAGCACATTTTATACCTGAACAGTGGCTTTTCTCAGCACACTTGTTCCCTGTCTGTCACCTACCTTTGGTACTGTTGTTTATCACTTGCACTGGGTACCACAGTGAAGAGCCAGCAGGATCACCAGTATAATTAAAGGTCAACAAGCAGTGCGAGAAATTAGCCCGATGTTAATGAGATCTGCACGCAGGGCAAGGACACAGAGGAGGGAAATGGCAAGGGAAGCAGAGTCGGAGCGCAGTAAACATTTCCATACCTCCCATCTCGGTCGAGCAGCCCACCTTTTAAATATTAAAAATACTTCTGTGTGATTCCACAAGGAGTGCCTGCAGACACACTGGGCATTGTTTAAGAACAAGTGTTTGCTTCCCCTTTTGTACCTCTGCTGCAGCCCACGCGCAGGCTTACAGGGTCTGCTCACCTGCAGAATACAAAAATAACACAGGCAGTAAAATACTGACGTTATTGGATCGCATCGCAAAACTGAGGTGACTCAGCTTTGCACACCTATATCCAAATTTAATGCTTTCCAACGACAGGCCAGTTTAACAAACAGCTGAATATGCATCATGTTCGTTTGTGTTGCAGTCCATAGATAAGAGTCTGCAGGTGTGTGTCCCTCTAACCTGTGTGTGTGCTTGTGCAAACATCACTGCATAAATCGAACACATTGTCTCTCGACTTCAGATTGCCTGCCTTCCCCTTATCACCTCCCCGACACTGCCTGCCTCCAGCTCCCTGTGAGGGCCCCCCCAGGGGTCCCTGTGTCCTGTCAGAGTACCGCTGCGCCTGACTTTCATTAGCCGGCACCCCACAGGCTCTGTCACACAGCGTAAACACACCCCGGCGACTCATTGCGAAACTGAGCGGCTGCCATCCGGACTCACAGCCGAGGAACAGTTTGTGCCGTGTTTGCAGCAGCGTTGTTCAGCTCTGTTGTCAACGCATCAGAATTTTAGCACATATTGGTCTTCCTAAAAAAGATCCTTCACATCACCTGTTGTTCCAGATTAGCTTGCAGCTGATTCTCGCTCACACTCCACTTGCTTTGAAACCAGTTTTGCACTTGTGGCAGTTTCAAAGGAAGCTCGATTAAAGTTTTGGTTGTGTGCAACAGGGCTGTGCGGTCGTCCTTCAGTAGAGTGTATTAGGTGCACCTTATCACAGCAGGTGATGAGTAGAAGCCTGCTTCTTTGTCCACCAGCGTTTACTACAGCAGGCGGTGCTAAAAGGGGTCCAGACAGAAACAGGAAGAGAGTCAAAGGTTGTTTGGACAGCAGAAAGTTAGCCGAGCAGCCTCCTGTGCAGCTCTCTCTGTCTTGGTGTATATTTGAAGCTCCATGCTCAGTGGCTTCTTTCTCTCTTTCCCTCCTGTCATTCTCGTACTGCTGTCCGTCTGTCTGTCTGGATGGTTACACATGTGTGTATCTGTTTCTCTGGTGGTGGCCGCTGTGCTCTGTCCTATGGGGTTCATGTTGTGGGGGACAAATAGGGCATGCATCCAGGAGGGCAATGCTCCAGCAGTTACACGGAGTCACTATGTACTCCCACGATGAGCACCACAGCACCACCTCCTACTGCTGGAGTGACCGAGGTAAGAGGGCTTCGGCCACAAACGCATCACCTGCTGTCCTGCTGACTACTTTACGTCCGTCCGTCAGAATGTCCGTCCGTCCTGTGGACCTGTATCATCTAAAGCATACATGAAGTGTCTGCTCATGTCCTGGAAGCTTCTGGAGTTGGTGAAGCCGTCTGTTGAGCAGTTCATAGCAGCATGATTTCTGTCTGTAAGCATGCTGTAGCCAGCGCGGGCTCGTCTAATAGTGAACATGTTATTGTTGCATCACATTGCTGTTTCATTCGTTTAACACAGACGACAGGTAACAACAGACAAGCGTTTGTCCGCATCCACGGCCAGGAAGCGTAATGGAAACAGTTGATGCCAACTCACAGCTCTCATGTGACAAACACAGAGCTGAATCACTTACACAGCTTTGCTTCTCAGAATATTGTTCAGAAGTGTTGCTGAAACTGAGCAGCTGCCAACATTTCATTTATCTTAGCTTGATATGTGTACACCAGCTTCGGCGACCATCTGCAGTCGCTGTTACATAAAGTCTGCACTTTGTGTAACGTTGGGCTGCAGTGCTGCACGTCGGCTGGCTCTGAATAATTCACAGATGCAGCAACACTTTAAAGATGGAGGCTTTAGGTGCACAGCGAAGGACCTCGACGTGCAGCACTCAAATAATCAAACAAGTTTGTTCAATCTGTGGCAAGTGCCCCCGTGTGTGTGTGTGTGTGTGTGT